CGTAAGTAGTAGTAGTAGGTAGGTAGGTAGGTAGGTAGGTAGGTAGGTAGGTAGGTAGGTAGGTAGTACGTACGACGTACGTACGTACGTACGTCGTCTCTCTCTCTCTCTCTCTCTCTCTCTCTCTCTCTCTCTCTCTCTCTCTCTCTCTCTCTCTACAAATTCTATCTCTTGGACAGTAATGTGCTCTGGTACATGAATGATGAATCATAACTCTAATACAAAAATTGGCACCAATGCCTTGATTTCCAATAAAATCCCTTCTAACACTTTAAGCGATCATAGAAATCCTTCCTAACCATTTGATGATATTTAAGTGATTCACCCCATTCACTATCCCAAAATTCAAGTATGAAGCATTGGGAAATTATTAGGGTTCTCAGGCTATAATGTGGTCATACACAAGTACTCTCGAGAAAAAGAGAGCGTGACAGGTTCTGCACCATGGATTGAAGTCAAATCATAATTGTTTTATTCATATGTGGCTATTTGAATGTAACAGGTTGGATATTATGAGGTGAGCTAGATGCGCTCCTCCCTGTAAGGCACTTGTTTAATGTTTTCATTGAATTTAGACTTGTTTCATTTAGTTAGCTTCTGGGGTTCAGCCAGTCGCATCAGGAAGCCAAAAATAAGTATATTAGCAAACTTGAGGCCTCCATAGTGGACATTGAGATTTTGGGATATTTCACCTGAGACGTAAATTGGCGTCAATCATGGTACTTTTGCGAATGCTGTTTCAAGTTTGGAAGTACCACAGGTTCTGTATATATCATTTAACTTTCAGTTAACAGTGCAATTTCAGAAGAGTAAATTTAATAAAAGCGGTCATCAGGCCCCAAACATAAGCTAACACTCGAATAAATTAAGTCAGGGATAAAGAACCAAATAATAGATCATTGTTCATACCTGTCTGGCCGATAAGTTCTAAGAGATGCTGACTGGAAGAGACGGTGGCCCATGACAAGGCTTGCAAAATCCGGCCCTCCACTCCCATCATTACTGAAGCCAGGGAAAAATGCATCCGCCTCAACACAAATTATATAATCAAGAGCATCGTATATTAGCCTATGTGCTTGCAGTCTCATATCCAAAGGCGAAGGATCTGGTTCTTTATCGGACAAAGCAACCCACCCATACCATCCATCAACCTCATGCTGATAAAAGGCCCTACCTGGAGGTGGAGGCAGAGGCCTTGGTCGAGGCCCCGCATTTTTCCACTCCCTAATTCTATCCTCGCTCAAATTTGGTGGAGCTGGAGGCGGATGTGAAGCAATGGGAGTTTCAGGGCCAAACAATTCAGATAATTCTTGAGGACTACACAGAGAGGATCGGTCGATGAGATTGCCAAACATGGCTCGAACAGGAATCAACATACGCTGCCCACCGAACACCTCTGCACCGGATGAGTATATTATTGTGCTCAACGGATAGCCCATTGCTCGAAGGAGAAGCCCAACCTGAAAATAGGTGATTAAAATGCACTAATGATCAGAGAAAATCAAGGGAATATGATTGAAAACTGAATAATGCATATCTCCTACATAACAATGTAGTTCAAGATCACATGACCAGCCTCTGAATAATGCATATCTACTATTCCGTTCTCATTTTGACTAATTGGAAAAAAGGGTTCATATTTAAGAAGTTTACGAAAATTCTGAACTCTAAGAATTTCATACATATTTGCTTCTGCTTTGAAAGGAAGAAGCCCCCGCCAGTTTATTTCACATTATCACCCTTATCAGTGACCAAGCTGATCAGATCTCATTATTTAATGGAAATTAATGAGCATTCTTTTTCTTGATAAAATTGATTCTAGAACAGTGAAAAATGCTCAAACTGAGAGAGAGAGAGAGAGAGAGAGAGAGAGAGAGTTACCTCTTCAGGCATGAGAGGGCAAGACCCATTCCTCCTCTGTTCCCAGGAGTCCACACTAAGTTCACCATGAACAAAGCCACGTTTGATTAACTGAGCCCTCCGGGCTTGTATGAGCTCCGTGTGGACATCCTAGACCATCAAAAGAGCAGTATCCCATGAATCAGAATTAACAATGACACTTCAGTAAATACTGGTTCTTTATTGACAAAATGATGTTATCTTCTCCAGAACTAAAATCGAACAACTTGGATCAAAAGCCGTCTGCACTTATACGAATAACAAAAATACCTGAAACTCCACAGTATATGAAGTCACAGGAATGAAATAAGAGTTGAACTCAAACTTTACTATATTATGGAAATTTCAATAATAATAAATATTTATGATAACTTAAGAAAACAATTGCATGGTATGTTTCGGTTTCTTGAGGAAGGACTGCAGTGAGTATTTAATCTCAACCACAATGAGTACAAAGTGAAAATAGAGATAGGTAAGAATATCCACGTGTCATGGAATAATTGAAGGACCTAACCACGAGGAGAGAACGCTCAGTTCTTCGTGATGTTTCACGAAATTCAGAAGCCGTCAAGGAAAACCATTTGGATATCGGTCAAGGAAAACCATTTTGATAATATCGCAAAAAAAAACATAGATTTTCATCATTTCTGCAAAACTACATTTTTTATTACCAGAAACATTCCACTGATATACAGAAAACCGCGAAATCATGTAGAATAGAAGAAAAGCTTTTAAGCTAAAATTTCAATTATCGCCAATCAATAACATGGATTCTGACAGTGGAAGATAAAGGAACTGTGCAGATTTAGATTATAGCTGAAATCGAGTAATCAAAGCTCGATTTAAAGGGTCAAATTGAACAAGTTTAGTTTAACACAAAAGAAAAAAGATTAATTGCTCCAACAATCAACCTGGAATAGCTCCGCACACCCATGATATGCCAGAGTATCTCTCACTAGGCCACTGTGGAATGCCAGATAAGGCTGCCCAGAAGATTGCAATCTGCGAAAGAACATAAAAGCTGAGGGCCCACAAAGGAAGACTTAACAGATTTCCCAATTCAATCAATTTCCAGATGAAGAAGTAAACACTAAAAGTGGCATTATCAACAGACAAACAATATTTAACACAATGTAGAAAATGGTTATCAGAAAATGCAAAGAGAGAAGCACTGGTAGAAGAGGATATATGAGGGATATAAATGTAATAGATCATCTGAGGCACCCTCTTTTTCTTCAGTAAAACATGTCGTTTAACACTAGTAATAGATTAACTTTACCTCCGTTTATTGTCAATCCATTAAGGATTTTTTTATATTAACAGAGAACTCTCTATTAATATAGAACACAGGCATTAAGGACTCTTAAGTAGTCCAAAACTGAACCCCAGATCAGGTTAACTTATGGATTAACCTCCTGGGAAAGCGACCAGATGATATCAGTATATTCAAAAATAGCCCAACTTTCTCCAAATAACAGTAAATCTTACCAAGTCCAGAGAGGCTTTAGCTTTTTTAGGATCTGCTTCATCAATCATCACGTGCAAACCACACTCTCCTCATCTCGTACCAAAGCAACTCCTGTCTACCATCAATATTCAACCCACCGGGTAGACTACACAAACTTTCGTAATGTTGGTCCAATCCTTTACCCAATATGCTTCCTTCCAATTTGTGAAGTTCTCAAATCTAATCCAGTTAAAGGCATTTCTGATCAAGAAATTGAGGTGTGTTGATCTACTTACTGTCACCTCCCCCTGGAGATTAAATTATTCTCTATATTGAAAACCCCCAAACACAGCACATGGAAGAGACACCACAGCATCCTCATAGGAAGGACCCCAAAAAACTACCATACAAGTAGCAGCCTTGCTAGAAGTTAACCAAGCAATGCAAAAGACCGATCGAGATAAGGTCATACCTTCATCATAGCTCTTTTTAAAATCACGCTGCATCCTTTGCCCCTAAGTTGACAGCTCCACTTGATTGCTTGTACAAAATTGTCAAAGGAATCCTATCACAAATTATATCCTCACATAAACCAACTGATAGCCTTAACAAACCCACCCTATACCTCTAATCTGGTACCTCCCTGAAGTGTACACCTTCTATCAATTCCCAACGTCTCACCTCAAGTTTTCTCTTTCGCCTATGACATTAGGATATGATATCCAATGAAAAGAATGATGATTGTAATTCCTAGCTCAACTGAGTTAACCCATAAGCAGTTCATACAAATGGGAGCCTAATTACCCATAGATCATTAATTCAGTGATAAAAGGAAAAAAAATTGCACAGAATGACAAGGTCACCATGCATACACCCAAGAAATTTGATGACCTTAAAAAGACCCCACCAAGCTAAAAAGTATTCTGATTCTAGCCAATAAGGGCTACATGAGAGGTTCCTAGATTCCTCCTATTTACCTCTACCATTTTCCAAATCCAGCTTATAGTACAAGATACCAATAAACAACAAAAAACAAAACAGAAAATTATAATCACTTTTCTTTTTATTACAACTATGATGATTATAAAAATTATAATCACTATTCTTCTTATTACAACTATGATGATTATAGAAATAGTAATAACAAGAAATGGTTCTTCTTATCAATTTTTGTCTTTTATATTTTAATTTTGGGCAGGTTAAGTGGGATTCTGACTTTGGATATTGTATCACAACCCTCAACATCCTAACTGCGAAGTCAACAGACCAAACTGGACCTCTAATCATTTCTAATAGCCCAATTTTTAAAAGCTGGCTAATTATGAAAACCGCACCCAATATACTAGTTAGAAGGAAAATATTTAACGACGACCTTTGAACTATCCAAAATCAAGACCAACAGATGGTCATTTGGACTCAATAAAACCTTCATCGTAATAAATTATTCAAATTCACATCTCAGAAAAAGAAAGAAAATCAATTAGAGATCTCTTTATCTTGAAATAAATCGGTGGTGTTTTCGCAATGTAGCATAGGGAATTTGGTGTTAAATTGTCAAAGCTGTGGATAAAAGAAATCACAGTAAAAAAGAGGCACACTGCCGAACTTTGTATCCAACGTATTATATGTCTAAAGACTATTTACAACCTATTACCGTTCAAGTGGAACATTTACCTGGGGCTTATGCATTTACCATTGTGCCTCACGGGTAACAAACAGTATACAGACTATGTAGACTAAAGATTGGAAAAAATAATGAATGCAAGGTGTAGCACAGCAATAAAGAGAATCTTCTGAATTTTACTTCTAAGCTGAGTGTTGAAAGGTCATATATAACCCCATATACACTCAAATCACACACTTACCCTTGGCCTCATATATACAAATCCCAAATTTCCCTTCAGAGTAAGACCAAGCCAACTGCATGAAAATAACAAACAAGATAAAAGAAATTGGGAAACTACAGTTTTGTCCATTAACCTTTTGCTTTCTTTCAAGACTTAATGAGTTTTGGTTTCTTTTGAGATGGTAATGGGCTATATATGTAAAGCAACTTTATTGACAGAAATTAATACCTAAAAAGTACTACAATTTCAATGAAATTTAGCTCGATGATGATAAATCTGATGATCCTCCAATATCTAAATAAGCTACTTTAGATAGTAAGGAATCCAAGTGACTAGTCATTCAGAAAGTACTCCTACCTCTTTACCATCCGCTGTCCCAAGAACTGAATAGCAGGACGGAAGTGAAGTGCATTGAATGAAACCCTGCACCTGAGCCTTTGATACTCGGCCAAACTAGAGGGGAGGATAGGCTGTAAAGAAATAAAATAAGCTAGAAAAAAGTGGAACTTAAGCATTACTTAATTGGGACTATCCCCAAAACCCTACAATAAATTATTCAGAATGTTTTTCTTATTATGCATGTACAAGATAAAAAAAAAGTACATGTATCACTATGTATTTGAGATTAGTGTTCAAGTTCAGTTACAACTAGAAAGATCAAACAGCAAGAATCGATACTCTCAATACCAACCAAACATATCAGTTTTCCAATCAGTTAAAACTCAACTTCAAAATTCTCACAGTATCATGAGATTAATATACTTATATGACAGTACACTTGCACAAGAAAGTCAAGATATCAAATAGAATGCAAAAACCATTATCACGAAAGGGAAAATGTTAAGCTGCAAGATGATGTTCATACTAGGGCTCTCCCAATATATGTCAACTAAACGGTTTGGCAAGTACTTGCTGACTCAGACTAAAAAAAAATCACAAGCAATGTTTAATTCTGAAAATTATAGAGAGATCTAGTAAATCAAAAAAGTGAGAGAAAACTGATGAGAATATTTTCATTACAAGCTTCTTAACCTTAACAGCATCATCATAATCCGAGCCTTATCCCAATTATTTGGGATCGGCTACATGAATCTCGTTCTCTATTCCTCTTTATTAAGGGTCATATCCTCGTCAAACCATAAGTCACCATATCTCTTCTCACTACTTCTATCCATGTCCTTTTGGGCCTTCGCATTGGCCTTTTAGAGCCTTTCCACATGAACCAAACCACCCCTCCTAACCAGTATTGTTCTAGGTCGATGTTGCACAAAGCCAGACCACCTAAATGTACTTTCTCTCATCTTATGGCCTATTGGAGCTACCCCTAATTTCCCTCATATGTATTCATTCCAAATTCTATCCCTTTTTGTTTTGCCACTCATCCATCTCAACATCCTCATCTCGGCTACATTCAATCTATGGATATGTTGTTTCTCGACCAACCAAAACGTGAAAGACATCTATTCATAAGTGGGTATCACTCACTCTCAGCTTATTCATTGCTCATCTACAGACTCATGCCCATAGTTTCAGAAGCAGACTGACCGGCTGCTCTTTTTTGGCTAACCAAGGATTCTAAAAAGAACTTACTCGCTTATAGCTTTAACTTGACTTACAAAACTGTTGTTTCTTGACCAACCAACATTCCATCTCATAAAGCAAGGTTAGTCTTACAGCCGTCTCATAGAACTTCCCTTTCAATTTCAGTGGTATACAACGATCACATAAGACTCCAGAAGCAAATCTACGCTTGGCCCGCTCAGCTCTAATTCTATGTGTTCTTTCTTCCTCAATCTCTCCATTTTCATAGATTCTCAACCTAAGATATCGAAAATAATCTCTTTTAAGTACTTTTTTACCATCAATCGTAATTAATTCCTCGTTTCTACTCTTATTACTACTAAACTTGCATTCCACATATCCTATCTTAGTCCAACTAATTTAAAACCTTTAGATTCTAGAGCATTATTTCAAAGTTCTAACTTTGCGTTGATGTCATCTTTAGTCTCATCAATCAAAGTTATGTCATTCGCAAATAGCATACACTATGGAATCTCATCATGTAGATGCATAGTTAACTTGTTCATAACCAAAGTAAAAAGATACGGGCTCAACACTAACCCTTGATAAAGGCCTACTGTCACTGAAAATCTATTTCTCGCCATTAGTTGTCCTCACACTAGTTACAACTCACTTGTAACATCCCTCACCATGTGAAAATATCCTATAGAAGACTCCTTTCTTTTCCAACACCCACCAAATTAATTCTTGAGGTACCCTATCATATGCTTTTTCTAAATCAACAAAGACCATGTAGAGGTCTTTTCTCTTCTCCATGAACTTCTCAATGAAATGCCTAAGTAGGAAAATAGCCTCAATGGTTAACCTCCCTCGTACAAAACCGAAATGATTTTCTAATACAATCATTTCATATTGTAGTCGTTACTCAATCACTCTCTCCTACAACTACACGGTGTGACTCATAAGTTTGATCCCTCGATAATTCATACAACTCTGTATGTCTCCTTTGTTGTTGTGAATAGGTACCACAATACTTTTTCTCCATTTGTCTGCATTTTTCTTGAAATGCTAATGTTCTTAACTTTAAGAGCATAACCATTTCAAAACTTCTTGTCAATAATATGAAAGGAAGATATAGTACTAATCAAGTAATCAACTTTTTCTTGGGCAAGTTCATTGTAGTAATGTGATTGACCTTTGCTTGGTTAATATAGCAATTAGCCTTCTTAAGTTTGATCCGCGATATTGTATTTTAAGGACAGTATGTCTCATTCTTGGGAAAACAAAAAATTCCAATACAAAGACCACCACTGGTTTTTTAAGCATGAAATGTTTGTCCTCTCAAATTTTGGAGAGAGGCAAAATGGCCATTTAAGCAAAAGCAAAAATTCTACGCCTCTATTCCCCAGTTTTCCTCCTGCATTGCAAGTCAGAACTGAAAGACGATGGGAGGTTCCAAAGTGAGATTGTGCAGTCGCCAAGTTTTTTCCAGTAAATTTGCCTCTTTTTCAAAAGATAAATGAGGCTAAAATATGGCTTAATCAGATTACCAATAGGGAAAGAAACATAAATGTGTCAGTTTTCAACGTTAGCACTATTTATGGGCAACTAACTCCCATTTCACAAAAGTAAAACTACTCAGCTATGTTAGCACTATTTATGGGCAACTAACTCCCATTTCACAAAAGCAAAACTACTCAGCTAATTCAACCTATTGAGGAATGCACAAAACTGAGGTTCAGAGTTACACGTAGTCTATTGTATAGAAATAAGCAAAACCCAAGCAGCAGTTAGTATATAGTTATCATTCTGAACCTACATCAGATGTCTATAGTAGTCAGTTGATAAATATCTTACCTGAAGGCATCCTCCATCAGAAATCACCAGTCCGATAACCTTTCTCTCCTTTAACTTTGGCAAGACCTCTTGAATATAAAAACTTGGAGATTCTGTATATTTGGGAAAGAAAGTAGGGAACTTATTTCTTTTCCTGGCTTCCTTAAGGTTTTGGGGCAGGCTCTTTATCACAATCACATCACTTTTAAGTGCTGCTATGAACTGCTCCTCATTGTAAAGATATGAAAAGCTCTTAAATTTGGAACTGTTGAAGGCAAAACAAGAATGACATATTTTAATGGATTATTGTTGTAAAGACAAACCACTGAACAAACTGAGTTCATTTTTTTACTGCATAAATCATGCAACACCTGATGCCTTTGGTGCGAGTAGTTTCTTGAATTTCTGGAACGACGAGGGTAGCATTTAGAAACCTGGCTACGGCAACAACATCGCAGATCTAGCAAATGCAGCCCAACAAGTCAATAGCAACAAAAAGAATTAAAATTTTAATTAGATAACCCCCAAATAAGTGATGAGTGAGAGAACTTTAAAGTGATGAATAAGAGGAAATGCCTTTATTGGAAATTCCTACCGAAGATCTTATATTTGCAAAGCCCCCGTAGATTTTCACATATATGAACCCGTTGTTTTTCTCCATTGGGCCTGCACAACCATGGAAAGAAATGGTCTTTTAAATACAGAAGAACGAACAGAAACAATACCCAAATAGAAATATTTCTTGAGCCAATCAAAACGAGAGATGTGGTAGACTGGTAAAGTATTGAAATAGAAATATTTATTGAGACAATCAACACGAGAGATATGGTAGACTGGTAAAGTATTGATTAGTAGGGCATATTATCAAACTGTAAATAGACATTAATACAGATAGATTAAGAAGGTAACCAACAAAACCATATTACCAATACTTCCCATTTAAATGTCCTTCATATACAGGCATAAACAACAATACCATCCTTAGAATGAGTCAGATGAAATATGGTTTTGCATCTTCATTTGATTTCACTTTCCGAGTTACTTCGGCCACTCTGATTTCAGGATTCTGGTTATCCTAAATAAATGTCTTATCACAATTAGCATGAGAGCCCATCTGCTTTTCATCATTTTATCATTCGCAAAATAAAATTCCTAACTCAGTGATGTTCGGAATCCATCCCAGTGAAACATTTACATATTAATGAATCTACCTTCACCTGAAAAGCATAACTATGATTAGATGTGATGCCAACAGCAAAGAATGTTTAGTATTATTCATTTCTCATTTTTGGGTATGATGTTCACAAGAGAAATCAATGGCTAAATATACTGCTGTAAGACTTTAGGAGAAAATCAAAAGACAAAGCATAGTTGTCGGGTGCGGGCGCATTCCCTGGAGCGGGAGCTCGCTCAGGTTCACAGAACCATGGATTTTTGGAAGCTCCTTGTGGTTAGGATCGCCGTCCGTACGATCCCATATCAAAGGAGCGGAATCCTTGTCATAGGGAAGCGTGATTTCATGAGGAAAGAATCGCAGTAGTAAGTTTTAAGGGATCGCGAATGATGCATGGATTCATGGTACCATGGGGCACGAACTTGAATGAATGCCAATGAATCAGTGTTGAACAGAGAAAACATCATATGCATAGAATCATACACTTGAGAACCGCAGTTCAAACCCACTGGGAACAAGAATCACAATTGAGGGATTTGCAATCCATCCTAGATCCCTCACTAGAATCGGCGGATAGAGGTTTCGGAGCGAGTCCGTGACCTTTCCTACAAGGTTCCAGCAACTATGAGACAAAGTATGAGGCAACAAAGGTAACAGAAGAAAAATGAAAATGATGAGAAGACATTAATGATGAACACAGATAAAAAAATCCCAGTCCTGACCTTTCCACCAGTAGCAAACTCGATTCAAAGATGTTTCTCGTTTTAATAGTTGAAACTTGAAAGAATGTTCATATAAAGGATTACAAATGGTAAGGCTGCCTCTGCAAAATAACATGGAGACCAGTTGTACAATAATAGTGCAGCTATTGTACGAGATCTGGAGATTTCAAGAGAAACATAAGTATCTCTTTCATCGATTTATTGTGGAGCTACCCACCGAAAATCTTTATGTAAACTTTCAGAAATGAAACATTCTTAATTTTGCATGTGCGTTGAAAATAAGAAACTAAAGAACAAACTTTTTTTTTTACATTAATTAAAGGATTGCCTTCAGAATCCTATTTTAGTATTATATAATTTATTTTAGTCACTAAAGGCAAATTTCTGATTAACTTCTCAACATGTAACAACTGTAAATTTCAATACAGTCTAGTCAAGCCAATGAAGGACAAGTCGGCTGCCCAACCACCTAGGCAGACTTTTTTAGAAAACATTTAGGCATGGTCAAGGCGGACCGTATTAGGCGGAAAAAGCTAGGCGCCCGCCTAGGCGGTGTAAAAGGCAGGCATCTAGGGGCCGCCTCGACCTCAGCAGGAAAAACTTTTAGGGAGAGGGCAAAAAAACGTAATTTTATCCCCTTAAATGGGGGGATAAGGGTTTGGGGGGCCATTCTTGCCCCCCAAACATAACTTTAGTGAACTTTAAATAACTTTAATGAACTTTAAAGTGAGAAACAACTTGAGAAAACTAGATTTTAAGATTTTTTGAGCGATCGAAATTTTTTCAAAATCCTTGAATGGCCACAATATTAAAGGATATTCATTGCCAATCTTTTTAAGCTAATAGGGGCTGTAAATGAGGAGATTTGGGATCCCAAACATTTTGGTTTAGCCCGAAAAGTATAGTTCAATAGTTTTCATTAGGTTTTGTATTTGTTTTTCCCTTAATGTCTAATGATGTTATTATTTGCTAGTAGCATATTTTTTTTGATACTTTGTGATATATATTTGACATGTTATTGCCTATTTGGATTATTATTTTCCCATTTTGATATGTAGTTTGGGTCTTTGGGAAAACAATTTAATAATAAAATCCACTGCCCCCAAACCGAATGAATATTGTTTTTTACTCTCTCTTTTTTAGTTTTATATATGAATTTACTTGTATGATTCATAAGCCATATTTTTTTTTTTAGTTAGTTTAATAATTGCTTAATGCTTATTAAATAATTGCATGTGTAATATGTTTTTTTGATTTATGATTCATAAACCACAATTTTTTTGTTGGTTTAATAATTGCTTAATGCTTAATTGCTTATTAAATAATTGTATGTGTAATGTGTTTTTCGATTTATGATTCATAAACCATAATTTTTTTTGATTAGTTAGCTTAATATTTGCTTAATGCTTATTAAATAATTGCATACGTGATATGTTTTTTCGATTTTGTGTTATATAATTGCAATTTTGATGTTTATTTTTTGGCTTAATAAAAACACAATCTATTAAAGGGTCAATGTCTCTACTATTTTTACTTCATTTTCTATTCGCAATTATATACAAATCTTACTTATTAAATAAAAAAACAATTCTATATACAATAAAATAGGGGGAGGCGTGGGGAATCCAACTTAACAAAAAAACAAAAAACCAGGCCACCTTTGGGTCTAGGTGCCCACCTAGGCGGCCCAGAGCCCTCACCGCCTAGGCAGCCCGCCTACGCCTTCTTGAACATTGGTCACAGCATAAATTAGTCAAAAACTATATAGTAACAGCATAAATTTGATAATCATCAAACCCAAAAACCATAGAGGTGATTGGAAGTATTAACATGCTTCAAGGGAAACAAAATGCAGCAAAATTTCAATATATCCAGACAATAAAAGGGAATAAACAAGCCATAATCTCTAGGGTAGATTGAGAATATATGGCGACCTTTCCAGTTGAATAATAGTAGTCAAACTCATCCATATACTTCATTCACATATTTCTAGGACAATACACAGGAAATTACAGCAACTATACAATTATAGTAAGATTTCATGAGATGTATTAAGCATGCAGAATGTGGTAAAGTGAAGAAATTCTTTTAACATTAAAATCATTTAAAAAAATCCTTGCTGAGTTTACAGTGTTCAATGCGCGTTATTAATTGTTTACCTAGGTTTGACTTACTTGAACAATGCTTTTACTGAATGATAATTAACATGAGACTAAGTGTAACCAGAGACCATGGCAAACATACTAAATCAGTCTAACATAAAATCCATATGTAATAATTATAGTGCAAGAGTTACCATAATATCTGCCTCTCGGATTTGCATATGGATGCAATGCCTCTACTGAACCAATTGGGCCCCATAGCTTCGAATAATGATGAAGCTGCAATAGAATTTATAAAAAGATTACATTCTACAAGCAATAAAGAGAAAGCCATTAACTATTATTTGGGATGGTACTACCTTCTCCCCTGACATATGAACAAAATCTGGTCTGAAGATAGCTTTTGTGTTTTGCACCAGATATCCACTTGAGTACTTGGCTAGAAGAAGATGAACTAGCAGAGATACCATCGATAAGACCAGTCCAAAGAGAGCGACCCATTTGATCTTGGATTTGAATAACATCTCCACACAAAATTAAGTCAGAGACTCAATTACGACACACATTTCAAGCAACATTCCAAGTATTAATTCTGCAGGATCGTGTTTCTGCATTGTAATGTAAGGCAAATGAATTACACGTAAGCCTGATGGAGACTCAAATCAGCATAAGAAGAATCAAATATATGCATGATAAAATGCATAACCATGTAATAATGTTGTGAAAATAACCATCAATGGAACAAACAGAAGGGGGAAAATTCCACAAAAAAATAGAATAATGAATAGAACTAGAAAATAAAATAATAGTAAACAAGGTTGATCAAGGCAAAAAAAGAAAGGGGGGAAAGGCGATGCCAAGTATGAGGACCATGGAATCTTAAATAATCATGCAAAGAGTGGATCAGAGGACCACATAAAAATCTTGCAAAGAGGCAATCCCATAAAATGCAGAAATGCTTTCACATATTTGAGGTATTAGAGCTTCTATGAACTGTTTAGGTCTATACTTGCAGAACCTCACTGGATCACAGAAACCCCAACCTGACCCTGAACCTAACATGCTCCAAATTACATACAATAAAAACCAGTTATCAGATGGCGATTTTCAGCTCCTGGTAAGTACTTTCCCTATATGATCAGCAGTTTTTGTCATTGTTCTGTTTTCTAGATTAACTGTATAGCTCATTCCATAGGTTTCTTTTCCAGTTTTCTTGTACAGCTCATTGTATTAGTTTTGTGGCTGTTTTACCTCCTTTTCATATATCTTTTGTGTTCAGAGGGAACTTCATTTTTGTCACCCAAGATGACATGGCATTTCAGGTTCTTCATAATTGTCAATTTCAAAAAAAAATACAAAAAAGGTTCTTCATAATTGTCATCCATGTTTTGATTTTCAATTATCGCACCTTTTTACAATTTTCACCGTCAACTTCAAAGAATGCCCTGTTAATAACAAATGTTGTTTTTGTTCATTTTCCTAGTATCTCGAGATGCTCTCTCTCTCTTCTCAAATCTTTACATGATTTATCCCCATGTAAACCTAAAAAACCTAGGACCATTTTTCTTGGCCTCCCAAAAGCTCAGGATCCTGTTCTCTCCCACTGGAATTTTAGGAACCCCAAGCAAGACAACAGCCGCTGCCAAGGAGTAGATGAAAGGGAAGAAAAAAAAAATTTTGATGTGCATTCAAAAAAAAAAAAATCAACGCATGGAAAATTAAATTTATCAAAAGCTTAAATTTAAATTCATGGAAAACTTTCCTCGTCACATGCCCTCCTTGAAAAATTAAATTTATCAAAATATTAAGCATTGCAAAGATTTCAATTTAATTATGGATTCTAAGGATCCAAACCCTCTGTACTCTCTAAATTCCCTAGAATCACATTTACGATCGATAATCTTCAACATAAAATTGAAACCATACAATAAGTTTAGTAAAGATTAAAGCCAAATTAACTATTCAGAAAATAAAAACCACTCTGCAAACCATGATAAAAGATAAAAACATTGGCCAAATCTATGAATTGCTGTAGTTTCTTTGAGAGGCACTGTGATCCATGGATGAACAAGAACTCAATCCACCAAACCGTTTAAAAGAAAGCAAAAGTAAAGAAAAAAATACAAATATAAAAAGCCTACAACATGTGTGATCTTGCATCAAAACCTATAAACACTTAAGCAACGTAAAAATATAACCACAACTTACAAGCACCATAAAAGTTCTATGTACATGGCCTATACAGACAAATCAATGTATATCAAGCAATTAAGTAATGTACAACGCATAAGAATATCATTAATACAACTGCTAGTACACAGAATTTGGAAAAAAAAAAAACACTAGCCAGGGCAAAAGACAATAATTAAAACATCAAAAAAAAAAAAACAGCAACATAATTACAAATTTTCGTTGAGTCATTGAGCTGTATACAATGTATTATCTGGAACATTTTTTAATAATTTCATTGTCAGTAATATGTAAGGTATGAAAGTCTACAATTAGTGGTTAATTTGATGTCAAACCCAAATTGCAGCTTAGCGTCAAAATCAAAGGAAAACGTGAAAGAAAGAGAGAAAGAACCCAAGAATCTAAAGTTAACCAGTTTCAAAAAAAAAAGAACCCAAGAATCAATGAAATTGTGTCACAAGCTGGAATATGATATAGCCCGCTAAGGAAAGAAAAATTCTAGAAAGAAAAAACAAATGCTAGAGATGTAACGTAAAAGCTCGCATCAACCTGAAGTCAAATAGAATCAACTGCAATTTTCTCAATGCATTCCGGGATCCTTCTCGAGTGCGGATCATATTAACAAAAGCAAGCGAAATTAGCATCAATACAAACTTTTACTGAATCAAAAGTATCGTTTATTTCATAAAAGGCTTCTGCATCACTTGAAACAAGAAAATAAAATAAGAAAAATAAAAGAAAATCAAAACTGACTGTCACTTATCAATTATTCTGTAATAAGAATTACCATCAAGTACTTTGCAGAAGTAAAACATGTTCGAAGTTACAATTTCAACAAAGCAAGAAACACATTTCTGCATAAGAAATTGTAATTTTAGACCTGCGATGGAGGAAAAGAGGATCAAACTGTTGTTTACCAGAAATCAATGCACCAGCGGAGTTTGATAGCATAAAGAACCCTGATTAAAACCTCATCTCCCTTCCATTTCTCTTTCCCACCATGGTCCCGCCCTAAAAAGAAAACCCTAACTCGCACTCTAAGAAGAGAGCAACTGGCCCAAAGGGACAACACAAACTTCGAGCAATTCATGTTCCTTTGTTTTTTTAACGCAGTTTTGTAACCTCAAAAAACAATTCGGGATTTAAATGATCAAATACCAAGTTTTGACAATGGCACCGATCTTGTAGCTATCAAGGGTCCCTTTTTCACACACTTCCTGTTATTCAAACTCATATTCACCCCAGGAGAACTCTTTATAGATGTACTTTTAAGCCTGTTTGATAACCGGATGTTAAATCATGAACTGTAAATTGGAAGTTCCCCTTTGATGGGAAGAAAGAAGTTACTGCAAGAAGTTATGGGTTTCTGTGTTTGATAATCTGCTGGAATGTTAAAGAAATTCTGGATTTCTGTATTTGATAACCTCCTAGAATGTTAAGTAAAGTTCCTGGGCAAATCATAGTAGACATGCAATTCTTCAGTGATACAACTCTTCTCTCTGTTGCTTCCTCCAAACATTTGAGTATATGAATCAAAATACACTAGATTGTTGCCGTAGCATACTTCTCTATGTCATGGCCTTCTAACATATGAGAAAAATTCGCTTCTAAGGATACACAATGGTGCATTAGGGATCTAGCTAGACAAAGAAAAGGATATTGTTGTTATCAAGGAAAATCCTTCTACATGTCTCTTTCATGCTTTTTGTTCGAAAGATATATTTCTCTTTCATTTTACATTATATTCTATAATAAAGATCTTAATTGCCCCAATGAGATAGGTAAAAAATACATAGACATACAATGCCACCAGTGGCTTACTACCACAAAGAACAGTTGCTCAGAATACCTCAATCACTCATACACATGGATATTGCAGTCATGGAAGTATACCATTTATTCTCTTTGAGTCAATCTCTGCCAATTTCATAAAATCTAATTGCCTATAAAATATAGTTTGCAAAAGAATGTAATACACAAACAAGAAACCACCGATGCTCTCTGAGGAAAACCATATAGCTAGATTCCAACAACTCTAAAAAGCAACAAGAATTCAGAAAAGGTAAAAAACATAAACTGAGGACATCGAAATTCACTTTCATTGCTTCAAATTTTTGTGTCAATGGACAAATAAAAAGTATATAGTCTGTCACAGCTTTTAATAGTTGCTTGTAAAGAATAATTTCAGTTAAAATCTAACACATCCTACAACTAAATGAACCTCTGGATTCTTCCAATGAAATGAATAAGACCTAAACTTCAAAAATTAAAGAAATTGAAGAGATTCGCACAATACAAAATCATTACATAAGCACTAATAGCAATCAAAATCACTGCTCCACAATTCCCAAGTGATCCCAAAACCCTAGAAACTGTGTACAGAGTCGTGCGCAACCTAAACCCTATGTTTGTGAAAGAAACACATGATCGAACAAACAAATGAAAGATTTTAAACATACTGGAGCTCTTGATTCTCAGGGTCACTGGACCTAAAGTTTCCATTTTCTCTTCTTTTGATTAATCAGACCTAAAGTTCTTCTTTGGGCCACTAATTTGCAGAGCAAACAAACAGGGAGAATCTGGATCTTCACATCAGTCACCCAATAGGAAAATACAAACAAATATTACTCGAACGTCCCATTGATCTCACTGATATTGCTGAAAATGATCAACTGCACTCAAATTTCAAAAGTGAAAGTTTTAAGGTATAAATTTCATAACCAAGAAATTGACCTGTAACCTATGGACCAAAGGCTATGGCGAAGAAACAGCGCGTGGAGCTTCAAAAAAAATGGCGGACTTCGAATGAGCTTTTGTTCCTTGCAGAAACAATGGGAGTCGCTCTCTCTCTCTCTCTCACTAAAAATGGACTCTCCTCTGTAGGCTTTCGCATGGGCCCAATCCAATGAACATATATTAGCCGAGGCTCGAGATTATCGGGACAAAAAGTTTCTAGACTTCTAGTTTTAAGTTCCGTCCAAAAGAATAGAAGTTTTTTAAACTCAAAGACGAGAACTTCTACAGTAATATGAAGTTCTCGTATTTAACTTCGTTTTTCTTATCGAACACAAAACATCTACGGTTGTTTAAAAAATGGATCGGTACCAAAAAAATCCATCCGGATCGGTGAATTAGTGATTCGGATCGAGAATCGGTCGGTCTAATTTAACTTTAAAAAAAATCCAAAAGGCTTCTTAAAATTTATTATAAATATTGTTTTTTCGAAATCCATTAAGAAATACGGGTATTACAATATTAACTTTTATTTTTTTATCAACTTGTGAATATTGAGATGTTATTTCCTTGTACGAACTTATGTTAACTATTAAATTTACATCACATAAAAAAAAACATAAAATTATCTTGGATAAAGTATATAATCATATATAAACTACAATAAAGAATGGATTAAATCGATGAAAAACTAGCCACTAAAATTTCTAATTGACGGAAAACCTTAATCCGCTAAAAAAAAACCCAAATTATTACAGCCTCACTAACTCTAATCCAAAATTCTTACAACCTAACTAACTTCAATATTATATACTGAAATTGAAATTGTTGGTTTATATTTTATAACTATTTCATTATATAAATAATAACAAATTCAAAATATTTTATTATATCATCTAATTTAAAATGTATTATTGACAATTGTAAGAAAAATAGTATATTACATGATTTATAATGCAAATAAATTAATACAAAAATAAAATATTTGATTATCAATATATAAATTTTTAGAATGCGTATTAACTTTCGAAATAACACTTTCATTTTTAAAAAATTCATTTTTTTAGATTTCTAGAATAAATTTAGTAGAAGAGATTGTTCCTAGAGACAGAGAGAGCTTTCAAATGGTTTCATTGTATGAAACCTATCTTAAAATTAATATTCCTAAATTTATGTTAAAGATTATCATGTTATAAAAATAAAAATTATAATTAGATTAGTTATTCCTAAGTTGTATTAAAAAATACTTGTTGTATTAAGAAATGCCTTCTATTTTTTTGACATAAAATACTTGTTGTATTACTTCTTTTTTCTTTTTTTGACAAGAAAAAAAAAGAAGATGTTGTATTTCCTTTTTTTTGTGTTTGTTTTATTACTTTTTATTTTTTTACAATAAAATAAGAAAATAATGTTGCCAAAGTACCTTCTATTTTATTTTTTTGTCAAGAAATACTTGTTTCATTACTTTTTTTTTACAAGAAAAAAAAGAAGATGTTGTATTACCTTGTTTTATGTAAAAGATATTTTTTTGTTTTATTTTTTTGATGATATTATTTTCTTCTTTTTACTCTTTTTTAAGACAATAATTTTTTTTAAGACAAAAAAATAAAAATGCAAAATAGCATACCCAATGTTTAACCTTGGGACATCCTAGGAAGAACCATAAATGATAACCATAGCACCCCATCATAGATTATTGAATAATTTTGTACAATAATATTTATATTGAATAACGTTTCAACGTTATATCACTTGGCTCAAATCCCATATCGAAGAATTAGACAAACTTTGTGAGCTATAAATACCTCTGCTTTCAATGTGGTCAAGAAAAGGGGCCAAAGTACACTTGCAGTTCATATTTTTAAACTAAATTACTAAAATATCCTCATCCAGTGACTTGCCGACCTGTGACGTCATAGTCCGCTTATAAATCACGATTTATGACGTCATTTGAATGATTTACGGTTCAAAATCGGTGATTCTCCTCTAGAACCGGGCGATCTCGGTATTACACAAGAATCGACACGGGGTAACCGATTCCCGTGTCAAGACTTGAACGATTTACGGTTCAAAATCGGTGATTCTCCTCTAGAACCGGGCGATCTCAGTATTACACAAGAATCGACACGGGGTGACCAATTCTCGTGTCAAGACTTGCTGATTTTTAAAACACTGTGTACAATAAGTAACTTTTGGAAGCAAGTTCCTTATATCAAACAAGCTCAAAAACTGATCGGTGCCCCCGATCGGGCACCCCAAAAACCCATCTGTATCGGTTGCCAATTTTTAAAACATTGTGTACAATAATAGGTAACTTTTGGAAGCAAGTTCATGTTATCAAACACGCTAAAAAACATATCGGTGCCCCTGGATAGGGTACCCCAAAAACCCATCTGTATCGGTGAATTTGAGGTTTTGATCGAGAATTGATCGAATCAATTGGATTCGATAATAAAAAAATCCAAAAAAATTATTAAAAATCATTATAAATGTTGTTTTTTTAGGGGATCCAATAAGAAATAAGGTATTACATTATTAACTTCCATTTTTTTCATCAATATGCGAATATTGAGATGTTCTTTCCCTGTATGAATTTATGTCAACCATTAAATTTGCATCACACAAAAGAAAATTCATAGAATTATCATGGATAAAGTATATAATCATACATGGACTACAATAAATAATGAATTAAATCGATGAAAAAATCGCCACCAAAATCTCGAATTGACGAAAAACTCTAATCCACTAAAAAAAACCCAAATTATTACAACCTAACTAACTATAATATTATATATTGAAAATGAAATTGTTGGTTTACATTTTATAATTATTTTACTATATAAATAATAACAAATCCAAAATATCTTATAATATCATATAATTTAAAATATATTATTGACAATTGTAAAAAAACTAGTACATTATATAATTTATAATGTAAATAAATTAATAAATAAAATACAAAATTTGGTTATCAATGTAAAATTATTAGAATACATACCAATTTTCGAAATAACACTTTAATTTTTCAAAAATCTAATTTTTTAGGTTTCTAGAATAAATTTAGTGGAAGAGATTGTTAGTAGAGAGAAAATTTTCAAATGGCCTCATTGTATTAACCATATCTTTAAATTAATATTTCTAAAATTATGTTAAAGACCACCATGTTATAAAAATAAAAATTATAATTAGACCATTTATTTCTAAGAAAAAAAAAAAAAACAATAGGCATTTATATATGAGAGAGAAAAAAAGAGCTAATATACTTCAAGTCTATATTGTATTACCTTTACATATCTAATTAGAGCTTACGATAATTGCAGCTTAAATGCGTGCTTGAAAAGCATGATACTTGTTGTATTGCCTTTTATTCATTTTTTGACAATAAATACTTGTATTATCTTTTATTTTCTCTTTAGAAAAGAAAATTAGTAAATAAATATTGTATTCGAACTAGGAACCTTTTGTGTACAAAAGGGACATGATAACCGACTACACCACGGGCCACTTGTTATCTTACTTTTTATAATAAAAGGCGTGCCGCTTTGTTATCTTACTTTTTATAATAAAAAGCTATATTGTATTACCTTTTCAAGCCTAAGTATTATGCTCAAACTCCACATCGAAAAAATAAGAGAAGTTTGATATCAATAAAACCCTCCTCAGTATCAAGTTTCAACGAGTACTTGACAAGCATGATCAAGCATGCGGCTAACAGAGGCAAAGGTGGCCATACTTGTAAAATGCCATAATCACCCCGTTTGTTAAAAAATTACAAAAATGCCCTCTAACACGGTCACGTCTTGGTATGTAACGTTATGTGATGTCATAATCTATTTCGTGACGTTAAAATCACCCCTGTCGGTTCCTTTCTAAACACGGGTGGTTTCCTGTTTTGAGTTAGAATCGACAAGGGGTGACTGATTCCCATGTCGAATCGCCCGAGTCCGTGCTAACTCGACGATTTTTAAACCACTGCTTTTAGGTGTTGTTTGCATGAAGCTGAGGCTCAAATAATCAAAGTAAGGCTCACCTTCACATAGGTTCGCGATGGGCCGATGGCCTGAAAACTTATTTTTATCTCTAATTATAAAATTTAAAACTTTAAAAATAGTACAGATTGATGTATACTTGAAAATCTTAAAAAATAAAGGTCTAGAAAATGCATCACAAGATACACTATTTTCAAGGGCTGGGTAGATTACTAAATATGAGCTGCCAGCAAGGAGCCTCTTGCTTGAGACCTGCCTCTCCGCCTCTCTTAGTAAGCAGCTCCCCTATGTTGTATTAAATTGTGATGAGATAATCGATATGCACACATATCCAGGATTTCCATTTTTTCTGACTTGAGACATTCATATCAATCTTTTGTTTGAAAGAGCCTTTTTTTTCTTTTTAGACTTAAAATCTATTTTTTTTCATGTCCATGCATCTTGAGATCAAGAAGATATATGTGAGGATTCTAGGACATCGAAACAACCTCTTCTAGTAAATTTTTGAGATGCCTCTTAATTTGATTGTTTAGATCCTCAACGTTCTATAAACTTTTTCCTATAACCTTGGCACCATATTTATAAATTTAATTATATAATTACCTTGGAAGTTATTGGGAAATCATCCCAGAAATTCTCATTCTCGTGATGGTCTAAAAACAATTTTCATCTCTAATTATAACATTTAAAGCTTTCAAAAATAGAGTATATCTAACATATTTACGAACATTTTAAAATATTGAAAATAGACAGTTCAGATAACATATTACAAGATGCACTATTGTTAGGATATGAAAACATTTTATTTTCACACCCATATATCTCGAGGTCAAGATGATCAATTGGAAGTTTTTCAATGACAAAATGACCTTTTTTCGTGAGTTTTTAATCTGCACCTTACTTTATAGTATAAGATTAACATCTTATATAAACCTTTTTCTTTATAAAATACCTAAGATGAATTATGTAACATTCTATTTATATATTTGGATTTAATTT